TAAATTTTCATTATCTTCAAGCACTAAAGTACATGTGCAAACATGAGAATGCACACTAACAGACAAGATCAAATCTGAATGGGGGCATAACGGTCAATTTAGCTAAAGATGTGACCACCAGGTACTCGGACACCAGCTCATAGTATCCAAAATTGAAGGCCATATTTCCAAAATTATTCAAAGTGAAATTACTTCATTGATATGAACAACACTTTCATGCTTAGATGATGCCTGTTTAAACTTTAAACAAGTAATAATGCAAAAGCATGACAGTACTATATGGTGGAACACTGTGACCTTGTGACCCAGAAATCTATAGGGGTGTTCAACCTTATATGGACAATCATCCTATGAAGTTTGAACACTGTGGGCCAAATGGAACTTTAGTTATGTTCCGGAAACTGTTTTCAGTTTTAAGTAATAATGACCTTTGCCCTTGTGACCCCAAAATCAATAGAGGTGTTCAACCTAATATGGACAATCATCCTATGAAGTTTGAACACTGTGAGCCAAATGGAACTTAAGTTATGCTCCGGAAACTGTTTTCAGTTTTAAGGTAATAGTGACCTTTGACTATGTGACCCCAAAATCAATAGGGGTCTTCTACCCAATATGGACAATCATCGTATGAAGTTTGAATATTGTGGGCTAGATGGAACTTAAGTTATGCTCCGGAAACCAAATTGCTAACAGACGGATGGACTGACGCCAGGGGGTATAACATAATATTCCTGAAATTCTTTCGGGCATATAAAAAATCCATAAGTAAAAACAAGATTCAAGGGAAACTCAAAAGTGAGATCGATGACACCCAATTTTTTCCCACTTAAAATATTTCTGTCATTATATTCTAACACATGCCAAGTTTAAAGAAATTTTAATGAATAGTTTTAATTTCTACCTATATGTTATATACATTGGTTTGACAGATAAGTGATATGGTAAAATGACAAATATGGTAAAATAAACAAATGATAATTTTTCACTTTTATTCTAGACAAATAAATAAATATTACAATATTTTCAGAGCACAATTAACACCTCAATAACCTAAATATAGCTATATGATAAATTGGCTCACTAAAACCTATAGGTGTAAACTTTCATTTAAGTTTTTTTTCTGAAATTACTGGTAAAACTTAAAGATAACAAGCAATTATCATAGTATTGCAAGTAATCCATAAGTCCCCTACCGGTAAGAGCCAAAGCAACATTTTGAAGGGCCATTGGCCATTCACTAAATAGGTTCCTCTTTAAAAGTGATCACAGGAAACAGTTTTTATGTACAGACAGACGGACTGAAGGACACTCTAAAGTTATTTTTTAAACATCCCTGTTATCAAAATATAACATTTTTAAAATCCTATCATGATTGAAGAAGTTCGAGTAAAAATTACCAATTTCTCAAAAAAAGTTTAAGTTAAAAAGGGGCATAATTCTGGAAATAGTCTTGCTAGAGTATTGAACACTCATAAATGTTGAGTGACAATAAGAAACATTTATATGAAGTTTGAAGTAGATACATTCAGAAAAAGAAGTTATTAAAGAATTAAGTTCAAGGGAGGTAATTCTGATAAATTTTGTGCTAGAGTTGTAAACCTTGTCACATATGATGTGGTTGATGACAAGCAACTTATATTTAAAGTTTTAAGAAAAATACCTTAAGAAATAAAGAACTTATAGTGAAAAAACTTAAAAACTAGAATCAGAAATCTTGAAATTCAGTCTATTTGTTGCCATAGCAACCAGAATTTTCAACATAGGAAGATAAGAAAAGGATGTGCATAATTTCCATACTGCCATCTACCCATATGTCAAGTTTCATAAACATATTTTCAGTACTTTTTGTGTTATCACTGGATCCAGGTTATGTGTAAAATTTGCCATATTTTCAGTCTATTTGTTGCCATAGCAACCAGAATTTTCAACATAAGAAGAAAAGAAAAAGACGTGCATAATCTCCATACTGCCATCTATCCATATATCAAGTTTCATAAAAATATTTTCAGTACTTTTTGCGTTATTGCGGGATCTAGGTTATGTGTAAAATTTGCCATATTTTCAGTCTATTTGTTGCCATAGCAACCAGAATTTTCAACATAGGAAGAAAAGAAAAAGACGTGCATAATCTCCATACTGCCATCTATCCATATATCAAGTTTCATTAAAATATTTTCAGTACTTTTTGCGTTATCGCGGGATCCAGTTTTGTGGACGGACGGACTGACGGACAGACAGACGGACGGACTGACGGACGGACGGACAGACAGACGGACAGACGGACGGAGGGTAAACCTAAAGTCCCCTCCGGTAAACCGGTAGGGGACTAATTATATATTCACAGTGCCTGTATTAATCTACATATCTGTAATATGAACTTACACAAATGTACATAAATAACTAAAGGTATTTAAATAAAGCAGTGTCTTTGAATGTTTAAATATTTGCAATTCACTTTTTTATTCTCCCTTCTAAAATGATCACATTTATAATCATTAAAGCTTGCAGCTAATCAAGAATCTGTCATGTAAGCTGCCCTAATACTAAGTTAAAATTAATTATAGCTACTCCGACATTACATAAGATCAGATAACTTAACCAATTTGTCTATACTTTATACATTACAATGGGAAGAAATGCAACTATTTTCTACATTTCAGTAACAAAAACAGTTTTAACATGTCACTTGTTTTTGATGATCACTAAAAGATTACATTAACTAGAAATGTGTCATCATGCCGCGGATGCCCCCGCATGCAGCCAAAATTTCAGATGTTATAATATTTAGTTCCAAATTTGTTTGCACAAATTATTTTTTTAATTTTAAGTTCAAAGCCCTTAAAACTGTTCAATGTTAACACAAACCATTTTCATACAATGTTCAAGGCACTGAAATTATTCAGTCTTAACCTTTTGAAAAAAGCATATTTCATATTTGTAGCCAAAATAATGGCTACATACATTTCCACAAAAGTATGAGTGCTGAAACTGAAAGTTCAAAAATTTTCCAACATTCAAGAAAGATAAGTTTGTCCAAAATCATTGAACCATGACCAAATTCAAACTTAAACTGCTTATTCCTAAGATGTATCTATATTATTTTCAAAGTGAAAGGGACATAACTCTGCCTAAAATCATCGAACCATGACCAAATTTAAACTTGACCTGCGCCTTCCTTTGACATATTCATATGTCAAATTTGAGTTTAATATGTAACACTGTTGGGTAGATAATGAACAGAAACTGAAAATTTCATATCATTTTCAAAGTGAAAGGGGCATAACTCTGCCAAAAATCATTGAACCATGACCAGTTCAAACTTGACCTGGGCATTCCAAAAACATATCCATATGTCAAATTTGAGTTGAATGTGTTGTACTGTTGGGGAGATAATAAACGGAAACTGAAAATTTCATATTATTTTCAAAGTGAAAGGGGCATAACTCTGCTAAAAATCATCGAACCATGACCAAATTCGAACTTGACCTGTATTTTTTCATGATATATCTATATGTCAAATTTGAGTTGAATGTGTTGTACTGTTGGGGAGATAATGAACGGAAACTGAAAATTTCATATTATTTCAAAGTGAAAGGGGCATAACTCTGCCAAAAATCATCGAACCATGACCAAATTCGAACTTGACCTGTATTTTTTCATGACGTATCCATATGTGAAGTTTGAGTTGAATGTGTTGTACCGTTGGGGAGATAATGAACGGAAACTGAAAATTTCATTTTATTTTAAAGTAAAAGGGGCATAACTCTGCCAAAAATCATCGAACCATGACCAAATTCGAACTTGACCTGTATTTTCTCATGACATATCCATATGTCAAATTTGAGTTGAATGTGTGCAACTGTTACTAAGATAATGAACGGAAACTGATGATGACGGAATGACAGAATGACGGAATGACGGAAGGACGGAAGGACGGAACAGGGTAACACTATATGCCCCGGCCATTACATGGCGGGGGCATAAAAACATTATCACAGTTAGCTATACACAATCCATTTTAAAAACTGTCTGGTCAGTGCAGTGTTAAGTTTTGGCCATCTCAAGGTCCACTAACTGCAGGGCTTCTTTGAAGGATAGTTTCTTTCTTCTGTGTTTCTTTATATACTGCAGAAGAAGAAAAATAAAGTACATATATAATAATTCAAATAATTTCATGTTACTTTGAACATCATGACTACAATGTACTAATTATTGACAGATTGGATAACATTTCATCATTCCAATATACTAGTAGCTGATAAATAGCAACAATTTGAATTACAAGTACATGTTTATGATCTCACGTCTGTATGTGCTAAACTTGCAAGTCATTCCTTAATACAAAAATAGCTGTCAATTTCTCGGGTACCAAAATATTTCCCATGAATAAAAACAAATCATCAATACCACTTCAATAATGGATGCTGAATGCAAATATAACCTTATGATGTCACTTTGATATTCAGATTTCTGCAAGCAAGACCTGGGAAGTGCTTAATCTTATGTTGCTAGAATTTGTTACCCAACCCATTAAAGGTAATGACATTGTGTAACTGATAAAATCTTGTTACCTTTTTAGTATCTTCTAGAGTTGTATACTTGAAGGTTGGTTTAATATTTCTGGTAAAGTCCTCATACATTTGTTTCTGTGAGGATAGGAATTCTTTTGTCATCTCCATCTGTGCTTTCAACATATCATGTAGGGCAATCATGGCAGGGCTATATGCTGTCATAGCTGACAGAATAAATAAAATAAAGATTACATTGTATACATGTATTTAATAAGGAAATGTCTTTTCTAGAACAAAATTATGTCAGATAAATTTGCTTTTTAAATTACATTATAAAATAGTCTTTAAAGGATTTTGTGCAAGTAAATATGACTACTTTAATTTTTATTCTGAAATTTAATGGCCATCTTTTATTTAAATATTTATTTGGTATTGATAAGACCCTACAAAAGACCTTATGTTTGGAAGACAGACGACACAGAACTTATGTTTAGAATAACAACAGATTTCTCCACAAACATTGACATGTGTTCTTTTGTTAACAAATATCTTATGGTGAAATTTTGCAATCCACTAATCTATCATTCAAATAAGACAGATTAAGATCATGTAGGCATCTATGCATCCACTATTTTACACATTTAACATATAAAACTCTGCATTCTAAAGGACCCTTTCACAAGAGTTTTCTGTGTAAAATTTATATATTGTACTTCTAGGTTATCTTACTTTCAAGAGCGTCTGCTGATACAACATGTGTTGCTATTGGAGTAGGATCAACAAAATGAAGTCCATGTGGAACACCTTGAAAGGCCAGTCCAGAGCCTGTTGGGTCCCAAGAATATAAAATCCCATCCATAGCTGTCTGTGCCTCAGCTGTGGTCATGCCGCGCCTTGGACGTGGTGTTACATCAGAACGGGAAGTAGTTGGCACCAAACTGGTAAAACAGAAGATGTGTGATTTTAATTACATGTAGTTTATAAGATAATTTTCTATATCTTGATCTTGCATAGAATTAGTGTAAAGTAATGTATCTTCATGCATTGTACATGTATTTTGAATATGCATTGTGTTTTAAATATGCATTGTTTTTATAAAGTAAATGATGTAAATTATGTATATTTTATCAAATTCTTACAAACCTAGTAAAAAGCTAGCTATAAAGAGAATACAATGAACAACTTGCTCAAGTTTAAACAAATTGATAGCTTTTAAATAAATGGTCATCCAAGAACCATTACAACTATAAAATTTATTTTCACTAACTTTTCAAACAATAGGACCAACATGCTTTTTCACCAATATACATGTATAACATCTATCATTACCATAAGTGTGCTATCATGTCAACTTGTATTATAGTTAGGGGACCTTTCGGCTGAAAATGTGTCTGAGTTAAACCATATAAATATACATGCACAGTGCATTAACTGGAGTGCAGGTATAAGTAACCTACACTCAAGAGCATGCCCATCGATTGGCTCATTTTTGTCTGGGGTTAAAGTATTGTGACATCAGAGAAAGGGAAAGCGATAATGATATCATATTCAGATGCTTGTTCATTGGTTCTTTTTTTGAGGGGTGTCATATTGTGACAACAGGGAACATGTTTTTATTTTTAACTATGATACAAAAGAGAAAGAATATCAAAACACTCTGCAATCTGATTTATACTCAGGGGCTACGCCCCCTCGTACAAATCAGATAGCCTTGTGTTATGATGCTCTTTCTATTATTTACAACTAGTTGGCTTATGTGCAGGAAAAATAAACAAAATGTTGTACAAAGATGTTAAGATCATAAATTTTTTTAAGAAAATTGCCTAGTCATACCTTTTAGTGAAATCCTCAGAATACTCAGAATAACTCTCACTGTATGTTTTATCATCTTCATCTTCTGTAAATTTAGACTCAGATATCACTGTTTCTGTGTCGCTCTCTGTGAACTCCGAGTCACTTCTCACTGTCTCATCACCACTGTATTTTGTTCTCACCTCTGACGCTGATGATCGTCCTCTGTCACTGCTGTAACCTATCTTCTCAGATATACTATCAAAATCTTCTGTATAATTTACTGTAGAAGGTTTAGTAGTTTCATAATCTGTAGCAATTTCAGTTTCAGTGTCTTCGAATTTCTGACTATAACTGTATGCACCAGGTTTCTCTGTTCTTATCTCTTCAGACACTTCACTATTTACTTCTTCTACCTCGCTTCTTACACTGTCATACTCGCTCTCTTTAATAGAATGTCCCATTAAATCATCTATGGTCTGTAATCCAAATGAACTAAAAAGGTCATTTCCTGAAGCCTTTTTACCTTTCGATCTTTCCTTTGAACGCTCTCTTTTTTTCTTTTTCTGTGCCTTTTTTGAGCTTTTCCCACGTGACTTGACTGGAGAACTTGTTCTGCTGGTATCTGACATATCCGACCTGTCAGAGCTACGAGCTTTAAATGGAGAGCTGCTCTTATTTGAAGCTTTAAACAAAGACCCCTCATTGCTGGCTCTAAATGGGGAACTGTCTGCCTTTGCTTTGAATGGAGATTCATTATTAGCTGCCTTGAATGGAGATTCATTCCTTTTGTTACTAGCTTTAAAAGGTGAATCATTCCCACCCGAGCTGGCCTTAAATGGAGATTTGTCCCTATCATTACTGGCTTTAAATACAGAAGATTCTTTGTCCGCCTTTGCTCTGAATGGGGATTCATTATTCTTTTTACCTTTCAGAGACGTTTCAGAGGTTGATTTTGTTGTAGATTTATTTCCCCTGCCTTTCTTTTCTTTCTTTGTTTTTCTTGCGGTAGATCTAACAGGAGAAGGGGAATCGCTACGAGAGATTGGGGTATCTGGTCTAGACAGAGGTTCGGCGTCATCTACAGGTCCAAGGTCATCTAAATCCATTACCACTACAAAACAAAAAGTTACATTGGTTAAGAAAATTTAGTTATATGAAACAACCTCTCAATGAGTAAAGATTCTAAGGACAGCTCATTGTTGAATATATGAACTGAATAGAAAATTTTATAATTTTATCGTTGTCAGAATGGGTTTTAAAATTTTGATAATAACGAAAAAATTATAAAATATCTGCAAACAACTATAATTTTTCTAAATTTGATGCTTCCTTGAAAAAAAACTTAAAAAGAAGAATACATAAAGTTATATTACTATTCATCTATTCACTTTGTCTTAAAAGCAGGTTTGCCATCTCAAGTCAGTAAATTTGCCCATATGTTTCAATTGACAAAAAAGTTAATAAGTAATCACATAGAGAAAATCATTATCTTTTGCCATTGTGAAAATTAAAATACATGAAAAACTGTACTCCTTTGGAATAAATTTTCCTGTATTCCTTTGGAATAAACTTTCTTCTACGAATTTCATTTTTTTAGTTCATTTAATTATATACACATAAACAATTCAAATTAAATGTTACTGAAAAATTCAGGCTGTAATACAAAGTTCTGGTAGATTTCAGACTGATCACCAAAAGTTGGATTTGATTAATTTTGTTGGTGTTTTTAGTCATGCCAACATTGTAAAAAAAGAGTTCATGGGAACACTTTAATAAACCACTGTTCATGGAGCATTGCAACAACAACAAATGATTTATACCACCAGTATTAAGTCAAGCCAGCCTGCACTTTCCTACAGTCCGACCAAACACTATACTGTTGTCTGCTCTATTTAACAAATCTGATACTGAAATCCCTTTTACTAAAAATGGAAAATTCCAAGTTCAAATTAGGACATGTCTATTACACAAAAATATAGAAGTATCAGGTTTAAAGTTCTAATGAAAAGTTTTGAAATGAAGACTTTAACTTGAACTTAATAATGTATGTTTAATTATACAATGTACATAAATGCACATTTGTCATAATCAGGTATCATTTTATGTTAATATTTATATATATTTTGTTGTTGTGTGTGTTGTAATCGCTGTAAAGGGGGAGTAAAAGACAATATATAACAGATAAGAATCACAACAATCAGTGCTCAATATTTCACCATGTGCAGGTAATACTATACATAAAGAAAAAAATATTTCAAATAAAAATGAACTAACTTAATGTTAAAATATGTTGTGGACAGTCATATTTCAATTTGAATGTTTTAATCAATAAAAAGCATGCACTTAAAATTGAACATATTTCAATCATAACTAGAACTGTGTCCAAAGGACACGGATGCCCCCACTGACAACATATATATGGTATATAGTGAAAAAATCAACAAAGGTCCATAATTCTGTTAAATTTGGTCGCAGCAAAAATTCCTTCCTTTACTTCCATCTACACATTAAGGTTGTTCATCCCTGGAAGTTTAAGCAAAATCTGCCATCCAGTTTAAGAGGAGTTGCATTCACAAAATTTCTACATAGTACATAGTGAAAAAATCAACAAAGGGCCATAATTCTATTAAATTTGGTCACAGCAAAAATTCCTTCCTTTACTACCATCTACACATTAAGGTTGTTCATCCCTGGAAGTTTAAGCAAAATCTGCCATCCCGTTTAAGAGGAGTTGCGTTCACAAGATTTCGGGACGTACGGACAGACGTACGGACGGCCGGACGGATGTGACGTACGGACGGACGGACAAGTGCAACGCTATATGCTCCCACTTTGTGGGGGCATAAAAATTCTTAATAAGGAAATGATCATAACTTCATGATCATTGTTAACCTGAGAAAATCTTCAGGCACTGAAAGGAATTTGAACCCCAGACCTCTTGATTATAAGGCAGACACACAACCATGTGGCGAAAAAGTCAACACAACAGCAAGGCTGTTGGAAATGATCTATACCTGTAATCACTAGTGGTTGAAGTAATTTAATCAGTTTTAATTAGACATTTAACAATTTTTGATAATACTGATATTCACATTTTAACATTTTATTCACAAATATACATGTAATATCATAATAAACAGTTCCTATTTAAGTGGTTTAAGTGGTAATATTGTTGAGTAATACAATGTATGAAGAAATATTATTATCGTATTTTCAAATTTTATGTCATGACAAGCTGTACACAATCATATTATGGTGTACACACACATCCCGTTATCAAAGCTGACAATTTTGCTTCATTCCATTCCAATCCAATATGATACTTAATATTTTTCCCAATCAAGATCCAAAATTTCCTAACCTGTGCTAGGTAATTGTTCCCAAAATGTCTAGGAAAAGGCTTGAAACTGAAATTGTTTAGTTTGCATTTCAAAATTTAATCTTCATACTGAAATAGTTCAAGACTTGTTCATATATAGTACAGCCTAAAATAAAATAAGAGTGTCAGCGCATGCTCACAGTTTATTATAGTGTTAGTTAAGAAGACACTTCAAATATTTCTGTTAATTGGCATTAAGATACTGCCTATGACAGTCTTTTTCCTTTGCTGAAAATGATCACTTACACGAACCTGTATCATAGTAAAAACTATGATGTTTTAAGGTGGTACAAATCAATCCTACAGGGCATTACAAGGAACTGCAAAATTTACAATATAGTTTTGTTGCCTTGAACAAGACCCCAATATGTATGCAAAATTTACAATACAATATATCCTTATTAACATTGTTTACATTTTGATTATTCAAGATTGAAACAAATGAAAACATTCAATAGCAAAGCACAGCTGTGAAGTGACTGTTTCTTCACCAAATGATTTAAATATGTATAAAAATGTTTCCCTACCCTTTGATTGACCATTTTTCTGCTTAGTGTGCCTCAATTCTAAGATCTGCTTAACTGGCAGGCTGTTTTTAAAGTTTAAAGGGATAATATTTGAAACATTCATATTGGTTATTAAACTAACCATAATTTACATTTATTTGTAGCCAATAAATAATTATACCTTTAAATTGTATGCGGTCTAAACAGATAAATTGTATACTGTCTGAACCTAATAGTATGTGACAGAAAAAATATCACAAAAAAGTAATTTAGTATTACTATGAGTATTTATTAAAGAAATTGTATTTAAGATATATTTAAATAGTGTTATTGAAAGTCATTTTGTATGACAGACACACAAATCTAGTGCTCTGCATTATAAATGTAAGAAGAGACAAATAAGATAAGCATTGAACTTCATATAATTGTTAATGCATTTTTTTAAGGTGGTCATGCGTCACTGTCAAGCAAATGAAGATTAGCATCACAGTCTGTGGGAATCTCCAGTTTACAGGTGTAGTACAGTACAGTGGGATCATAACTGTATAGTCTAAATAACTGTTCAACCATGAACACTTGGGACTAGTTGGACTACTGTAACCCAACGAATATTCGCGACCAATTAATATTCGCTTTATTCGCGGATGGCCACGAAGCGCGAATATTTGTTTGCGCGAATAAGTCCGCACGATTTCGCGACTAAATTGGAGAGAAATTTTTATTTTAGACGTTGTTCATGCAAAGATACTTGACAGGATATATTCGAATTTTACGGGCACCTGTTAGGAAGTAATAAATTGTTATGAATATTGCCATAAAGCAATAAAAACACAAACTAAGTAAACTACTACTATTTTATAAATATCAAAAGAACTCTATGTCTATGGAGGCAGTAGAATACCGCTTTTAGTACAGGTGAGAAGTGCAGTAATTTGCCTTTTGTCCTCAAGTCCAGTGACCTCGACCTGTTTGGACCCTATAAAATAAATGTTTGAATAAAAAGTGGGAAAACTATCGAGCATCACAAAAGGCTATTGTTTTTTGGATCCTTTTAAATAATTGTTTGAGTGAATTGTTAAGACAAAGGTGGTATAAACCTATCGAGCATCACAAAAGGGTAATTGGTGTACATAATTACAAACAGTGAAATACAAGATGGTTTCATACTAGTATCGACTTTTATCCGTCAAACTTAACAGCCTGTATAGCTCAGTTGCTTTCCAGATCATGATCAGGCAAAAACGATGCCGAAACATCCCTGCATTCTGAGGGTTAATTTTTTATCAACCACCCTTTTAACGACATGTTTAGAAATGAAGACGAACGGTGCGTACATGTACATATATAGAGAAAATGTTTCGCTGAATTGTGATAACAATTCACTTACCAATACAATATAAGGCTAGCGTATTGTTAATCCCATTTAAGACACCAATAATGACCTCAATTATTAAAGATTAATAGTCGGCTTATGGATTTTACGGCCCCATCGGGCTTTCCAATCCGCGAATATATTTTTTTCGGAAATCAAGAAAACGCGGAAATTAAATTGGGTTACAGTATTTTAGAGGGGTAGTCTGAGTTAGCACTTCAGCTGAATCCCCTGTCAATAGTAAAGGGCCAGTCAAGAACATTGTGTTGAAGGAAAATGTTAAATCTAGCTGTTTGGCTTAAAACAAAACCATCACACTTACCCAGCAGTGATAAATTAAATCAATGGTGATATTTTAACTGATTTCCCCAAAAGCTTCCATGAAGTGAAGCTCCTTGGACTTGTGTAACATATGACTGCACATTCCAGTTTATTAAAATATTGTGTAATGTTTAGCAATGTTGTGTAAATACATTCAGAGCTAGCATTCTTCATAAGTTCCCTTAGCTTCATGTTATCTTAGCTTGCCTGGTTTAATGAAAAGTAATAAACCTGAGAATTGAATAAATTGTTGTTATTAGTCCCCTTCTGTTTTCACCAAGAGGGGACTAAAGGCTGACCCCTTGTATGTCAATGAAATCTGAATTCTGATATTACTCAAAATGTACAAAAGCAAGGTTCATCATACTGGTATCTGATATAGAACCATATGGAGATTTAGCATGTTATTATAATTTATGCTCCCAAAAGGGAAAGAATACAGGTGATGCCTTAACCAGCTGTCTGTATTGACTCAAGTAATATTATGGATAAATATCAGTGTACAGGATTTTATGTAAACTTCACAGTGATAGAGACTTTTGAGTTCAAGAAACATAACTCTACCTTGCTTAATGTTTTAATTATCTCCCTTAAGTTAAAAATGCTTATTTGGAGTTTTACTTCCAAACTATCACTGAAACTACAAAAAAAAAATGTACACTCAGTTGTACAGACTGGACTTTGTCAAAGTGTCAAAGATCCATAACTACATTCATTAGTTTTTTTAATTATCTCCCTTTATAATACATGTACTTAATAATGCTTGTCCAGAGAAATACTTGAAAAGAGGTGATGGAATTTGATCAAAATTTTTCACAGCGAAAACATTCAAGTGAAAGGAAGTGTAGTTTTAAAGAACCATAATTTTTCCAAGCTTAATTTTACAATTATCATCTCTTATAATACATCAAAATTTAAAATATTGGTTGTCTAGAGTATATCTTTTCAATGATATCTCACTCAAACTAAACACGATTGTAGAGACTAGTGAGCAGAAGTGCTGTGTCAAATAACCAAAATTCTACATTACAATCTCCGTTTATATTATTTCATGATACTTGTTCAGAGAGAGGATTAAAATATTGAAGGAATTTGATTGAAACTCCACACAATGAAAGAGATTAGCATGAGAAGTGCAGAGTACAAAAACCATCATAAGTTTAAATGACATGACAACATTCATATAATGTGATGCAAAAATATTGACCATTTGAGTGTTTTCTTGATACTGATACAGAAATATATTTATAATTATCATAAGTGATTATTTTTTCATAGCTTTGTCTCCCTTTATTATGTCATGTGTTGAAATAGTCTAGCTTGCAGTTTCCTCTGGCAGCTCTTATTTCACTTTTGCTCATGTCAAAAAGGGCCATTAACAGTTTGTGATGGACCTACATGTACCTGTAACCTAAATATTATATTTGAGCATGTATGTCATAGAATAATTGTATCAATTACTGTTCATTTATTGAATTGTGCACTTTATATTTATCAACCGGCAACACCCTTCACTCTTTGAATTATCTGCCCCCTAAATAGTAAAAATGGTAATTTTGATCCCAACTGCAGTGCCTTCAGCACTTTGATTAAAAAGTAGTCTGCTACATGTATGTCAAGGTTATAATTAATACAACTTTCGAATTTTACCTTGGGTCTTAAGTATTAACATTGTCGGTTACCCATGGTATAATAATTATATTTTGTACATACTACGTACATACTACGTTATCTATATACCTTCATAAATCTTTAACTTTTAATTTAACTTTTAATATTAGGAACAGTCAAATATGTTAAAGAATTAACCAGGAAGGAATATTCAGTGTAAATATGTTTCACAGTAACAGATCTATTTTACCCAAATATTTTAGGGGTTAACATAAAAGATTTGCAACATGCAATTAAATAACATTTGATCGTCCCAGTAAAATCGTAAATCCATTGAGATGGGAAATTTTCTTTCAATTTCAAGGTAGGTGCTTTTTTCCTTAACATTTGTATTCCCATTTTTTTCTTGAAGCAATTATTTTTCTTTACTGAGTTAAATAAAACTGTTTAAATATTTAAATACTTTTACATCGTATAACAATATACAAGGTATATATTTGTAAATTTGACAAGTTTAAGCTTGTAATTTGGATATCAAATTACCCTGTATGGGATCCTTGCAGATTTTAGATGTTTTATGTCAGAAAATAGAACACTATAAAATCACTTTAACGAAAATCACATTTATTTTCTAAACATTTCAATCATATTTTCTAAACATTTTCAGCATTAATTTTACTGGTCAGTCTAAACCATAGAAGTTCATCATGGGAAATTCAGCTAGAAAAACCAAAGAAAATACTGGCTGTGGGAATTGCTCAGAGATAAGGAGGGTACTCAATGTTTCTGAGTTACAAATTGGCCAACATATCTGTGAACCTGGTAGGAAAAAATGTACCTACAAGGAAAATAGACACAGTCTGAAAGCTCAATACTTCCATCATGCTATAATTGGTGAAATAAAACACCGTAACGATTACAAAGTAAGGCTTGTTCTGATACATTATGCTAATGTAATCGGATTGAAGCAGGGGTCAATAAAAATAACAGAGGAGGAAAGAGATCTGAAACATGATGAAATATACATTGTCAAGTATACATATCCAAAATATTCTCCTAGGGAAATAGTACAAAGAGCCAAAAAAGAAACAAAAAGAGAAGTAAAACACGAGACCAATTATGAACAAGAAGAACACAGATATACCTTTGGGAATTATAATCTTTTTGTAAGCAATTGTGAACATTTTGCAACTTGGTGCGTTCTGGGAAACAAGGAGTCTTTCCAAATTGATCAGAAATGGAGGGTTTTTCTGTTTCCTTTAAAGATAAGTTCAGGAATGGCAGGGATCCTTTCACAGCTTCTCCTAGAAATATTAAGATTTTTTGCTTCTTTTGTATCTGACAAAAATTTGTATGGACCTGGTTTTTCACTTCTTGTCATCGGAGCATTCTATTCACTAGTTCTATTTGGCAGATACCGTAACCTTGAAAATAAATATCGGAACTACAGAAGGTTATGTCAACATTGTCATGAAGAAAAATGGAGCATCTTAAAAATAAAATTCTTTTGGTTCATTTTATCTGGAATTTTATTTTATTTTATCACAGATGCCTGTACCCCATGGTTCCCGGCATGGCCAGTGACAATAATACTACATGTGATATTCATCTTCCTTAGCATATTTTTCCGTTGGTTATATCAAGGACTAAAATCCCCATTCATGCATTCTACTAGAGTCAGACAGTTGTCTGACATTAAAAGAGGTCATGTCATAACATTTAGACATTTTGGATTTCAACACTTTGCCCTTATCACAAAAATTCACTCAGAAACAAGTGAAATATCCATAATTCACTATAAAGGATTTTTCAACATCAAACTGACCAAAGACAAAATCTGTTGGTCTGAAAACTCAATTTGGCGACAAAGACTGACAAAACTTCCAAAATATAAAGCAAAACAAAGAATTTCAAGGATAAAAAGAAGGTTGGGTGAGAGAAAATGGCATTGGCGTTGTAATAGATCTGACCATGTCTGTTACTGGGCATCAATTAAACAGAAACACTGGGAATATTATCCACCAGTACACAACAAAGAGACATTAGATCAAACAGAGGAGGACTATGTTAAAAAGAGTTCACTGGAAGTTGAAACTATTGTTGTCAACCTTAGAACTGAAATCGAAGAAGGTGATGTGATAGAATATTACATCAACAGTAGAAAAAAAGAACATGGAACAGGGATCATTACTGAATTGAAGAATGCACATGAAAGCAAAAATGATAATGATCGCATCTTTACAATTGTTTTGGTTATACAGAAACATAGAAATGCTGAAGAGGCTGAGATCACTGTAGATTTGAACACGGATACTATTAAGGTAAAAAAGTTTCATCCAGTGCACTGTCGTAGCATGCAGGAACGAAAAAAACAGGCGAAAAAAGCTCAAGAAAACATAGAGCAACACAAAAAATTCAACATCATGAAATTTTGTGTGTTAAAGGAAAAACAAACAAAAGAGCAAAAACACTTTGAAAGAAAGAAAAATGATTAACTTTTGATTCATGTTATTCAACCCATTAAAACTTTACTCAACTTCTAGAGTTTATGGTGCTCATATGAGCTTATAAATTCACTTGACATGCATAATTTGATAAAACATATCATTTACACTTTTATAATATGTAACCTGTTCTATTAGTCTTTGTTAGACCCTGTCAAATTATCATCAGAGTACCAAAATTACAAAAGACTAGTTGTGTGTAGTTACAAAGATGCAAATATACAAGAAGTATGTGACCAAAGACTATATATCCATGGTACCTACTGTGTGTGAATGTCTCAAAATATGTTGTGTAATCCCAGTAAGCACTGTTGCTTGTGAGCGAGGGTTTTTAACCCAGAACAGGATCAAATACAGATTGAGAACCAACCTCAATAATGTAACTGAGAATATCTGAGGATGAGCCATCCTTTAAAAAATTTCAATATTGAAAAGGCTGTCATAGTCTGGAGAAAAAAAGTAAGAAAACTTTGAGCATATTGACTGGTGTTGATGAAACTCAGTGACTGAAGTGTTTGTTACTTTCATGTAAGAACTATATTAAGTATGCTGTACTTGACTACTATGTGCTCATGATATGTGTTGTTGAGATCTAATGATTGTTTTATCATTGTTATATAAAATCTATAAGTGATGGTGTGCTTGATTATAATATGCGTGTGATAAATTTTGTTGAGGATTCATTGAAATAGTATTTAATAAGGTTATATAAATATCATATATCATAGAGATATTTACTTTTTTTCTTCATTTTACATTTTATATGCCATACATATTTTTAAATGCCTGTATACTTGTCACAGATTGTTTTTATTATGTCGATGAAATAAAATTGAAAAATAAATCCAATGTTTACAGTTATAGCTTGATTTGATGAGATGTTAATGGAAGCATCACTTCTAAATTTCAAAACTTCTCCCTATTTTTCCTGAAGGGAGAAGTGACTTCTCCCTAAATTTTCAGTCCAAGGTAGTCCCTGCATAAGTAATGAACTAGGAAATGTGACTATAAGACACATATGCAGTGACTTCATTTGCCTATCAAAAGGCAATATTTACCATAGCATAATGAGCTTAAATAAATACTGTATGTGTATTTAAATTCGCGGAAGCAAATTTTCGCGGAAAGGTCCATTTTGGGGGTATATACAAATATTCGCGCTATTTTGAATTCGCGGAGGTGACTGACGAAAATCATAAATTCGCGTACACCCATCAGGTTAAATAATAAGGAATATTACTCTTACACGATTAGGCAATGGTTTTCGCAAGTAGCCTTCTTTCATTCTATATACTGTTTACTGTAATCATTGTGGGACTTCACAGTTATTTTCAACACCTGGTGTCATACAATATGCTATTGTACAGAACAAATACATTCATGTCTAGCGGACAGATTATCGCAAACAAAAGAATGTCCATTAACGTGCGAGATTATTCACAGTTTTAAACAGCAATGAATGAGACCACAATCTTTTCACCGATTTTGTTAAAAATTGACTGTGACTGAATAATTCTGTTTTGTTTTCCATGTTTTCATTAGTTAAAATCGTTAATGTTTGTGTTGTTTGTATTGTAAGTTTAAAACAAAATATAATCTGATCAGATGTCATGATGTTTATGACTATGCAATAAATAGCGTGATACAATGGTATTTCTCAAAGATATATTTACCTATACAAGAATCCGATAATCATATCAGTCAAGCAATAATACATTAGCAAACTGATTATATTCATAACTGAATGTTACATGTGCAGTTTATACAACAGTAAAATCACTCTTTGAAAGCGCCACGGATACCAGACTTATGGCAGCCGTGAACACACTGATAAACATTGTTCTATAGATGCGCGAAAATATGACTATTAAGAAATTATTGATGTAGAAATATTCGTGCTGAACATGAATTCGCGGATCGAATGTCACCGCGAAGATCGCGAAAATTTGAAGCCCGCGAATATTTCTACACATACAGTAGGGGACAATGTCCTTACCTTGTAACATAGACCATGGTTAATTCCTTCTAAATTTATTGATCAGAAAAGGATTTTACTCACAATATCAAGGAAATCTTAGCATTTGACCTAATGACCTCAAATCTGTAAGGGTGGGCAATTCCTGTACCAAGTGAAATAGGCATGTTCAGTTTCAAGTTAATGAATGAACAAACCTTTACAAGGCTTTTACATTGTCAAAGTGACCTATACCTTTAATCTAAAGACCCCAAAATCAATAGAGGTTGTCTACTGGCCACAGACATTGTCCCTACCATCGCTTATTTCTTTTTCAAATTATTAATCAAACATGGTTTTTATACAAAGTGTCAAGTAATGAGAAATTTGCCTTTAAAGTTACATATATCATGGCTTATTCCTATTCAAATTTTTGATCAGACAAAATAACTGAATGTACATACCAATGAACAAACCTCTTCATAGTATGCTCCCACTTTTTAAGTTAACAATGATAAATGACTATAATGAAGGGGATAATGCTAAAACATTAACATAATTTTGTACACTGTCAGAAAAATATTTTCATTCTTACAACCTATAAACTGGTACAAAACAAAGATACATGTATATAATTGATAATGATAAGTGAGATGGTACATACCTTTATAAAGGTTAGGATTAAAAATATATCTTAAAAGAATTTAATCTTCAGAACAATTTTGAAAATTATATATAAAGGAAAAAAAGGAACAAAAAAATGACAAAACAAAATAGAAAAGACATGCAGTATGTACATTAATTTATAAATAGGTGCATCAGCTTTAAAAAATGGTATAGACTTTGATTTCAGGATTATGTAACAATAAATGACTTTTATATGATACATGGCAGGAAATTAAAATAAGATAAAAAAGTAAAACTGAAAAAGTTGACAAGATTTTTTTTCTCTATGTGCAACCATAGCCCTGTTCCTTACCAACTGTTCGTTTTACCCTAGGGGTACTTCCATTTGTGTCTGATTTAGATAAAAAAAAAAATGATGTAAAATAAATGTACATATTTTAGTATTATAAATTCTGAATATTGTTCAGTAATATTGTTGCACAATATACTAAAATAAAAAAAATATCATGTGAAAAATGTTGAATGAACACAATTTATTACATGTTTTGCAGTAGATTACTGAATTTTATCATGCAACTGCTATGGTAACTGCCCGATAACACTTGCCTGATAATTATTTTTGATATCACGCCAGTAACCTGATATCAAAAATTAGCCCCGCCCATTTTAACGGACTTTTTTCAATTGCTTATATTCTCATTTTCATCAGCATGTGAATTCTACAATGTAATCTCATACCCTTACAAGTCTTGAATCAATATGCGAAATTTATTTATTTATTATTTCGATTTCAATTACGAATAAATTAGATAGCGAATAGTTTGAAGTGACGTCATAATTTATATTGCAAATGACATCATCGATGTTCACGTCATACTATACATGTAATCATAACAAACAGGCTTGACGATTTTCTTTGAGAACTTGTAAATGTTTACTTTATTTCGCTGGATTATTATTTAATAAGTGAACAAATTGTTTCGTTTAAAAAATAAGACGCATGTTTGTGTAGCTTGTGTTTGATTCCCGATTTGACTTTTCTTTGATTGAAATTATCGTGAACTTTTGAATTTGACAATTCAAGACAAAAATTGCAGTAAAGTTTAGTTTATGTGATTCTAAGCGGATTTTTGGATCGATGTTTAAATTAAAGGTAAGAATGTTATCGTATTAGGCCTACATTCTGTTGTATTTTATCCGAGTCGAAAGAAAAAATGGCCGCCAATTACAAATTGTAAGTTTCAGGGGCGGATGAATTTGTTTTCAAGAATTATTTCTTTGAATAAAAATTCCCCTTTTTAACGAAATTCGCTATTTAAAAGTAGATTATTTTGTTATTTTGACAGTTATTATGTGTTACATGATAAATAGAAAAACATGCTACTGTCTTTTGATATCAATTTTATCAGGCTCGGCTGATATGGGCAGAAAGGGCTCGGCAAGCCTCGCCCTTTCTAGCCCATATCAGCCTCGCCTGATAAAATTGATATCAAAAGACAGTAGCATGTTATTCTCTATATAACGGTTAATTATATTCTGATAATTTCACAGTAATGATTACCAAATATAATTTCACAGTAGCCGAACTATATTTGGCGTAAAAATAAAATATTTATCATTAATGAATGTTTTTTTCAGCGGAAATGTAGTCAATCATAATAACAAATATACGTGATAACTGTAGTTCGTAAATAAATTACGAACGTTGTGCTGAAAAACATCTAAAATCTAAAAATAATCATGGAATTATACTTTGCTTCAACATTGTGACGTCATTATTTGATGACGTCATGAAGATAAGAGCATGACGTTACGCGGCAAAAATCAGTAAAATGGTGTAAAAATCGTTAAAAAATCATGAAATAAACAGAAAATTTGTTTGTTTTACATGTAAGATCAAATAATATTTCACTCGTGAACCCCAGCTATTATATTTTCACTCGTGGCTACGCCACTCGTGGAAAATATTGCATCTGGTGTTCACTCGGTGAAATATTTTTCGATCTTACACTGAAACAAACAAATATCCTCTATGTTTTCATATTTAAAGTGACATTATGATAATTTTTTTTTCGCTGTCAAGTTGAGATGAATTAATTATATATTTCAAGGAATACACTATTATGATGATGATTGACCAATATATAATAAAAAATGAAAAGGATGATAAAAACTACCTTACTTTTAAAATGACTGCCCCACTCTTTTTTAAAGTTCAATGTTACCACTACATTCCGGACTATATGTATATAAATTTCCATGTGTCACGTGGATTATTGATTAGTTTTGCATAGTTAAATATAAAATTGAACACAATAATGGCAAAATATAAAGTTATTTTGACTTTTACCTGGGCACTCGTCATTTACACTTGGATGGGCATGATGTCACTTTAAATAGGCTGTTAATTCTTTCAATTAAATCTAAGAAAATGATTTATGATTCTTTATGATAATTTATATAAATGATCTAATCATAAACTCATGAGATTTCAAATTGAATCAAATAGATTTAAGAATATACCATTGATTCCAAAGTCATCAGCTATTTCATCAATTATAGATTCAGCTACATTTGAGTCATCAGAATATGACCTTTTAAGTTTAGGGGACGGTGATCGCCGTCTAAGACCGGGTGACAATCTATCAGTGTTGCGGGGACTAGGAGATGGTGTGCGACGCAGGACTGGTGGTTTATTCTGTGGAGATGGAGAACGACCTTGACTTTTGGAGGATGTAGGTCTTCCTGAGGATTTATTAGGAGGTGGTGGTGATGGGCTACGCCTGCCTTTGCTGACTTTTGCAGGTGGTGACTGCGGGGTGTGACGTCCTGTTGGTCTACCATACTGAAATATATAAAAATAAATATAAACTACTGTTACAGGAAAAGTCACAACCTATTAAAATCAAACCTTAATATCATCTAAAGCATCTGCAGGGCTTTTGCTTACTTACTTCATAAATCCCACTTACAGCCAGTTTTAGATTAGCTAATGGGAAATGAAGACATATAATGATTTGGGTGCCTGCCCTTCAACGCTAGGATCTTTGGCTTGAACCTCATTGGTGTCATTACCAAATTTCCTCAGATGTAATGGATGGTAAAGATGTAAACTTAATATGCATTAAAAGAATTTGTTTTGTAATTGTACCTGAAGATCCAGTGTATACATGTATAACTACTGATAAACTGATTTAAGTGTGAAAGAAGACAGTATTTTAATTAAGTACTGTCATAACTAAAGGTGTATAAAGTTAATATTGTCTTATTGATGTAAATAGATATGTCTAACTTGTCTCTTAGGTTTAATGTCCATGCTATCAGACGAGGACGGAAGGCCACCAACAAACTCAGCCAAACTTTCCTCTTCAGAGGTTAATACAACATCAGTTGAATACTTCAATGAACTCTTCAGTTGGAATGGAGATGCTGCAATACAAAAAGATATATATATATATTCACATGTATATAAAAAATAACTATCTTTAGAAAACAAAATGATCAATCTACTTGCCTATGCTGTAATAAAAGGATTTCCTATAATACAATTAGCTGTCACAAATACTTGCCTATGCTACAAAGTATTGCCTATGCTACAGTTAGAAGTAATAAAAGTCATGCCTAAGCTACAATTAGCTGTAATACAGCATTGCCTTTACTACAAATTGCTGACATAAAGTCATAGCTATGCTACTAATAGCCAAAGTAACGTTTGCCAGCAGCACATAGCTAGGTCAGTCTGTGCTTAAGTCAGTCTGAAAAAACACTTTATTGCTATTTGACTTTGACATCTTGATATTGAAATCATTTAATTTAACACATACTGTACAATACTGGTTAAGTTAGCGACATGTAAATAAGGGCAAATTGACGAAAATTGCTAACATATCCTTTAGCATAAATATCAAACAACCTGTTTGTTATAAAATGGAAATTTACTGATCTCCCTGTTATAAAATAGCTACAGCATGATTTTAAAAAGAGGTAAGTTCAACATAAAACCTTTTTTCTTCTGAGGTTGACTATCTAAGGATTGTTTGGCTGGTGAAAGTCCTCGGTTTTGTTGTGCTGTGGTAGCTCTAGGTGGTTCTATTGATGCAAGAGGGGCCTGACTGGGAGTGGCTTTCTTCAAAAACTTGCCTCCATCCCGACCTATTTTTATGCTCTCTGATTTAGAATTATGGGAATCTGATAACTGAAGACAATGATAAAATCTATGTTACCACTTCACCATGACAATCAAAAATGAATTTAATCTTGATGAAGGTGACGACATCACTAAAACAACAAGATCATTGGATTTGATTCAATTTTTGTCAGATTTTAGATATATTGTCCTTCAATCCTAGCTTTACTTCAGTTAATGCCAATGTATATTTTTAGCAGCATATTCTTATAAAATCGCCAACTTTTTATACATTTCAGTAACACTTTACACCATTATTGTATTCTTGATAAAGGTACAGAAGTAATGAAACAGGTAGAATCTTTAACAAACTAAGTTTATTGACCTGGTGTTTGATGTTAAGTTCCTCTTAACACATTTTAAACACTTTAAAAAGAAGTATAATCAATCTGACCTGTTTTGAAAACTACCAAACTCTAGTACTGATAGTAGTCACTAGTATATGTATTTAACAAAAAATATAAAGAAATTAGGATTACTTGGTCTCCAATAGAGCGGGAGAGTTTTACAGCACTAAAACTCTCATCACTGTCAGACTCAAGGGTGTAGGTCTTGCGCGTGGCTGCTCTCTGCTGAATCTTGCCTGTTAGTGCCGAGGCCTTATCCAGGGCACTGTAGGCTTGTCTGCTTGACCCAAGTTGACTGACTGGTCTACTGGACCCTGCACTCTGAACAGACTGACTACCATACCTTCAAATTAAACAAAAACTTGAAAATATTTTATGAATACATGACGTATACTGCAAGTTGCAAATGCTCAAAAAAAAGTTTTTTTTATTTCAGTGCCTTCTATGAAGTTACTGCATGAATAGTAACTGTATATCGCTTTGCCTGGTTGAATGACGTTGTGAATTCATATGCTACTAAAACAAAATAGTAATGAATGTAAATGACATTAATTTCCGTGTAAAATTAATAAATTGGGGTAAATTAAACCTTTACAAATATGGTAGAATAAACATGAAAAATATCTGACATGTGTTTGTGACTCAGATCAAAATATTCATACATTACTGTCTATAGGCAGTAACTCAACAAGCCTCACTTTTGCTCAATGGTTAGGTACCCTCACCTCAGGATGGAATTCAAACCCAATCATGTGACAGATATTATCAATCCTATTTGAATATTTCCAGACTGTCAAACTGTTATGTCTAAATCATTAATAAATAACTAATAGACTGTGTTATTGAATCCTGACATTTTCTATGCTTGTAAACTTTCAAGTAATTACTTCACTTCCTTCAGTAACTTAGAAAAGGTTGTTTAATGTAGATACATATTTTTACTATATACAAATGGTTACCTTTGAGCAGGCTGAGATTTAACAGCTGGAGATGGAGAAGTGGCCGAGACCTGAGGTTTCTTCAGAAATTTATTCCCTGCCGGTTCTACATTCTCATCTCCGACTGCACCTGGCTTCTTTTTCAAAAATTTACTACCTGAAGAAATTTCTGGGGCAGGTTTTGCCTGAATTCGCACATCTTCAATATCACTTGATATGGAAATACTATCACCAAGATCTTCAAAGTTAACAGTCTTCTGTTGTTTGGAAGTTTTCTGTGTTAATGAACTAATGTAGGCCTGAAAAGTAAGTATCCATAGCGATTATATCACTGTCAGTGTGAAATATTTCCTAATAAGTTTGCAAAACTTCAATAAGATATTCTGATATACTGTTTTTGGAAACAGTAAATTGTTAGCCTGGCCTTTAACCCTCAGGGTAGATAGCCAGGTCAATGGAGTAATTTTTTGTCACTTTAATAGTGAGGATTATTATTATTCTATGGGGGAAGGTTTGATAAAATTTTCCAAAGTTCCTGATATTGCTTTGGTGTGGAGGATAAAGTTAACCATTACCGTTACCTGATACATTTATATACATACACAATTATGTTGTTACAGTATACTATATTGAAAATATATGTTATACTTTTTCATGGAAACATGGTTTTGTACTAACTTACATGTAGTACAACAACTAATCACTTTTATACTAATTTTATCAGAATCAGGGTGCATGTATTCTTCATTTCTTATATATTCCTTCAAGAAATCTCTAAAGAAATCTCTCATAGTATGAAATAGTGTACTTATTCTTTTGTGTTCATAACATTTTGTACTTTAGAAATAAAGTTTTCTTTATCTTGGTCAAATTCTGCTTTGCCTGTGTTGCTAATTTAAGAATCTTGTTATTGGAAAATATTTTCTGTGTATGTATTCTTTCAGCTTCAATGCCATATGGCTTTTTTCTATAAACAATTGGTTTTTAAGGAAATATCATTAATGATTATGTGCTTACATTAAGTTCATCCTCTGGCTTTTCAATTTTTTCTCCCTTCAGCTGACTGTTGGCTCTTTGTAGCAATGCAGCAGTTGCTCCTGGATTTCTACGCTGCATTTTGTTATCTCTTAATGTTCACATATATAGCATGTGCCTGAAATAATTTCAAGGACCAAAAGTTTTATCAATGTAAAATAACCATAAAGGATCCCATTTAATATCACATTTTATAGGAGAAAAAGATTCTGGGGGAAACTGAAAATTTTAACACAAAGAGATTCTAATATGCAGAAAGTCTGAGCAGGGCTGCAGGCCCTGCGAGTAATGTAGCTCTCTTAGATAACATGTGTGATGTGTATATATTTAACTGAAATCACATTTAAAACTAGAACTGTGTCCAAAGGACACGGATGCCCCCACTGACAACATATTTATGGTATATAGTGAAAAAATCAACAAAGGGCCATAATTCTGTTAATTTGGTCGCAGCAAAAATTCCTTCCTTTACTTCCATCTACACATTAAGGTTGTTCATCCCTGGAAGTTTAAGCAAAATCTGCCATCCAGATTAAGAGGAGTTGCGTTCACAAAATTTCTACATAGTATATAGTAAAAAAATTAACAAAGGGCCATAATTCTGTTAAATTTGGTTGCAGCGAAAATTCCTTCCTTTACTACCATCTACACATTAAGGTTGTTCATCCCTGGAAGTTAAAGCAAAATCTGCCATCCGTTTAAGAGAAGTTGCATTCACAAGTTTTCGGGACGTACGAACAGACGTACGGACAGACAAGTGCAACGCTATATGCTCCCCACTTTGTGGGGGCATAAAAACCTTAGTTAGCAGGACTAACTAACTTAAAATACACTTCCAGTAAAAGTATGTGTAATAACACTTTGACGTGACATCATTTGCGTTATGTGCAAACATAACGTTAAAGCATGCTAATGTTAGTGTTACACTATAGGGGCATCAATGCAAAATGACTCTTTTTAATTGTTAACCATTCTTATTTTGAATATGTGATAAATAGCATATTATATTTGTGCAGATTCAATACTTAATTTATTGAACAAGTTGAATAAAACAATATTATGCACGCATGAGGCTCACATTAAAGTGACATTATGCTCATATTTTCATGGTCAAGTTAAGCTAAATTAACTTTATATATCAAAAGATTGGCTGTCAAAATGGTAATTGACCAACAGTTGATATTGGAAAATGTTTAGGGAAAAATTATAAATCTGTCTAAAATTTAAAAAGACTGCCCCACTCTTTTTATAAACTAAGCTTTATAGGTAAATTCTTATGGATAGTTACAGAAATTTCGCCTGGATTCATTGTTTACGCGAACTTAATTATTAAATTAAAAGGAATTATGGCAAAATGAAAACATATTTTGACTTTCACCCGTTCACTCACTATACATCCTTGGATGGGCATAATGTCACTTTAATATGATTTTATTCAACTTGTTCAATAAATTCAGTATTAACTACACTCATTCAATATCCAGTATGTACTGCTCTGTTTTGTTTTTGTTTGTTTGTTTGTTATAGGTCATATCACGACGTTCCAGCTTTACTGGTGGAGGAAGACCTCAGGTGCCCTTCCGTGCATTATTTCAGGCACAAACGGGTACCTGAGTAGAACCACCGACGTTCCGTAAGCTAGCTGGATAGCTTCCTCACATGAAAGAATCCAAAGTCCCTGTCGGGATTCGAACCCACAGCGGTGAGGGGCAAGTGGTTTGAAGTCAACGACCTTAACCTCTCGGCCACAGACGCCCCTTGTGTTTTGTTTAATTTGTTTTTAAAAGTGGGCCAAGTTGACCTGTTTAGCGCTGTAGTTTTATCACTGTTGGGGGGGGGGGGGTCAGGTCAACTAGTCTCTAAGTAAACTCATCAGAAACAACGTTACAAATGCATATTTGAAATCTTGTTGATATTGTATTTGTATCAAATCTGAAAGTTTGTGCCATTAGCGTAGAAAACTGAAACTAGAGCATGATTTCTGCTGTAAAAAATGCATGAGTCTCATCATTTCAAATGCGTGGGAACTGGCAGGTATGATAATTTAGTTTGTCAAGGGATGAGTTGATTTAGAGATTTTTGTCGTGCACAATCATGTCAAGAATTTTAAAAACGCATAATTTTTCAATATCATGTCCAGAAACTATAATGTAACATTTGATGGCTGAACAAAAAATATGTATTTAAGAACCTTACATAATGCAGAAGAACAAACAACTTCACATCATAATGTGATAGAATCTAATTTATATCATAGCAAATTTTTAAAAATTCTTGCATCCGCCATTTGTAAACAAACAAACTCCTGTCCAAAATGATCAAAATATTAACGACTGCAATAAATATTGTTGTCATCTTCTAATATTGCGTACCTCTTCTTCTTTTTCCAATTAGCGCTTAAGGGCTTTTTTATATAGACAATGGTCGCCCTAAAGACAGACATCTATGAAATATCAGATTATAAAATGGGTCTGTCTTGCAGTCGAAATGTTGAGATTATCTTCCAATTCATATTAAAAAGGTACCAAATATCAATTTTAGATGATAAATACACCTGGATTTTTAAATCGTAAATATTTAGAGTACTGGAGTTTATATAATTATAAATGAGCGCATTTGACGTAATTTTATATAAAGATCACCTAAATGTTATGAACTGTTACTTCATTACCATCTGATAAGACATCATGCAGTAAAATAAAAAATTCATTTTTATGTGTTGTTTACATGAGTGACAGGTACTGTTACGGGAAAGACACTTCTGTTACAGCAGTGACAAAAAATAAGCATGCATAGTACTTCGTTATTTTTTCCAAACTTTTATAGAATCAAATTTTATTTTATCTTAAGATAAAATGTAATCTGAAATATGTTATGTAGTGTTTGATTATCACCTGACAAGACCGTGGTTAAATAATTATGTCATTTACATCTTGTTACATGAGTAACATTTTAGTTACTGGAAAGACATTTCTGTTACATATGCATGCATGGTACTTCACAATTTCATCAAACTTGTATTAAATTTATTGATACAAGAAGATACTTAATGTAAGACATTCATCTTATGTCAAAATCCAAGTGTACTGCCACAGTTATTCTCCCCTAGTTTTATATTGATAAGTATTTCTTAATTGCTTATAAATATGGTTTGAATCTTAACATAGTATAGGTTTGTAACCCTGATTCAACAGGACAGTATTCAATGACAATTTGGTGTTGATTAAATGTACCAAAGAAATTTTTAAAAAATGGAACCGGACAAAAGTATTTTAAACCACTCAATGGTTATCAAAGTCTTCTAAATCAGTTTTGTTCCTTTTGTTCATATTCATTAAAAACCTAACCTAACAAGATGCTTGGACCTACTTATATTCACTGTCTTTCTAATTAAGGAGACAAAATTACCTTTAACAGAGGCATCACTGTTATAAATTGATCATGTTTCTTTGACTGCCTTACTACCTTCTTCTGCCTTACTTCTTTCTGCTCGCTTACTACTTTCTGCTGACTTACATGTACTTTTTTCTTCTGCCTGATTACTTTCTCCTGACTTACTTCTTCTGCCTGACTACTTTCTGCTGTTTTATTATTACTTTCTTTTGCCTGACTTCTTTCTGCAGACTTACTACTTTTACTTCCTGACTTCTTTCTGCTACCTTACTATTAATTTCTTTTGCCTTACTACTTAATGTTGACTAATTACATTTCTTTGCCTGACTTCTTTCTGCTGTCTTACTTATTCTTTCTGCTGCCTTACTACTCCTTTCTGCTGACTTTCTGCTGTAATGACAACCTTATGCTGTAATGACCTACTTCTTTCTGCTGGCTTACAACAGCTTCAAGTTTTTAACTTATTTTCAGACTTACAACTTTCTAACTAATTCCATCTGACTTACCTACTGTTTACTGACTTACTGCATGTTTCAAACTTACAACTTAAACTTCTGACATAAATTTCTGTTACAACTTTCTGATGACTTACTACTTACTACAAACTCAAGATTTTCACCTTATTTACAACTACCACTTTACTTACTACAGTCTGCCGACATAAAAGTTTTGATTGAGTTGAGTTACAATTTTGTACCGGCTAACAACTTTCTACTGACCAACGACTTTTATTTTAATTACTATCTGACCTACTACTTTCTAAGGAGCTACGAATTTCTGCTGACTTATTTGATTCTTCTGACTTATAATTTTCATCTGATTTAGAACTTTCTGCTGAATAACCAAGAAATAGACGTCCTGATGCCATTGTCAAATTTGTTGGGCTTACTATTCGAGAATTTTTCTGTTTCATGTAAAATCGGATGCTTTAACATTATTCCCAACAAGTATCAAAGAAAAGGTTCCATTTTTATCAGCTATCATCAACACAATATGAATCAAAGTCTAAGTAAATAAAAGATAATCGAATATTGACAAACATCTTTTAAAAATGTTACAAAAAATAATATTAGAAACGTGACAGACTAACTGGCGTATACACGCCACTTAAAACTTAGCTTACACATGAATATTGCACAGTTTATAATAGGGTGGGTTTTGGACTTGTACGTATCTCTACATAATGGTTGTATGTGTGCTTTAGACACAAGAAACATCCGTGATCACCCCCCCCCCCCTCAAAAACAAACAATCATAGAAAATGGAAAGGATATGTTCGGTCTGTGTGGACAATTGCAAATGGATCCTATTAAATTGTTCTGTAAAATACATAGGTGCTCTGTCAATGTGCAATAGCTACACATGGATTAAAGAAAGTATCTTGAATTAAATCCTTGCTTTCACCGGCAACCAATGTAAGTCGTGCAATGTAAGTCGAAATTTCGAGTTAATAAGTCGAAATTTCGAATTCATAAAAAACTCACACCTGGCACTTATGCTCTTTCGTATGTAGCCGACAGCTCTTCGATTTTCATAAAGGAATAGGCCTATTGTTGAAAAAATTGTTTGTTGTTGTTGTTGCTCGCATAAGACAAAAAGTGCATGAACACGAAGCTTAATAAGTTAATTTATGTTTTTATTCTTTTTCTTATGGTCACCAATAATTATTGGTTACAGTGCACTGATCCTATTATGTTTAATTAAAATACTTCAAAATAGTGGATCCTATATCAAGAATAAACATCAGTGTGCAAGAAGGAAAATTGTTAGTGATTCAGGAAACGACAATCCCTATTCATTCGTTCGTTCGTTCGCTCCTTACCCTTCGTTCGTTCATTCGCTCGCTCGCTCCTTCCTTCCTTCCGTCCGTCCGTCAGTCGTCCGTCCGTCCGTCAGTCAGTCAGTCAGTCAGTCAGTCATCAGTCAGTCAGTCAGTCAGTCAGTCAGTCAGTCAGTCAGTCAGTCAGTCAGTCATTCATTCATTCATTCATTCATTCATTCATTCATTCATTCATTCATTCATTCATTCATTCATTCATTCATTCATTCATTCATTCATTCATTCATTCATGTATCCTTTAATAGCCATGAACAGCATATACGTATCTCTTTAAGGAGGATTGATTATTGATCAGTTAAATGATGAGACACTTCATTGTCACAGACACTGAACTGGTGTATTAACAACAGGAAGTGATAGCATAGACTTGTATTGTCAATACCGCGGTAACTCATACAAATGTGCATTATTCATAGCAATAATACAATGTTAAATCGTTAATATTTACTTAAAGGAAATTTTTTAGGCTATATAGAAATAATAACTAAGTAATTAACTTGTCTAGTAAAAGTCAATCCTTTCAAAGAATCTGTTCGCCAATAAATATCTCAAAGATATTTGAGCCGTGCCATGACAAAACTAACATAGTGCGTTTGAGCCAGACCAGCCTGCGCATCCGCGCTGTTCGCTGTCAGTTTCTCTACTTGTAATACGGTTTGTAAGCGAACAGCATGGATCCTTATCAGACTGCGCGGATGTGCAGGCTGGTCTGGATCCACGTTGGTCGCAAACGCACGTACTATGTTGGTTTTGTCATGAAACGGCTCATTTTTTGTTTTAATCTAAACATCAGAGTCCGAATTTATATTTCTCTGAAAACTGCCAATCCATCTTGCGAGTATTATATACAGGAAATAAGATTACTGACACTGTGAAGTGGTAGTGTTTACTGAAAGTATAATGATTTGGGTGTGTTTGAACTAGAACCCTCTAACAGATTAATATCATCTTAGATGTTAGTAATATAAACAGACAATACATTCAACACTCTGCTCATTGAAAACTTAATGTTGGTGATTAAAGTGATGGATGTCCAACCCAGAGATGATGTGAACACTAACTCGGCATTTATAATAACATTATAATCTTTAAAGACCCATTATATATGCACCAGAAATGCTTTATCTTTTTCTCAAAAGATTTTTATTTTTGGTGTTATGTTATGTAGTTATCAATACATTAATCATTTGCCAAGTACCTGGAACATCTTTTGCTTTTGTTGCTTTTGTCAATTAGTTGATAAATTGGCTGAGTATTTTGTTTGGAAGTCAAAATACTACTTTGTTTACATTTTTCTACTTTTATAACAATAATTTCACATTCAACGCTACTTTCTTCATGTGTTAAGTACAAAGATTCTTTAAATCATTATTTAAACATTTTAAAACTCACGTTTGTCTTTTTAACATTTATTTATTTCTGGGACATAATGTGCCTTTAAAACATAAAACGAAATAATGAAATTCAATGTAATTATGGCATACATGTTCATTTAGTCGTAGATGAAATAGAAAATTCCTGTTACTGTTTAAAGGTCACATTTACAGATATAATTTTGAATTATAAATAATACCAACATTTCAATGTGATAATGATTATGTATGTTAATTGATTTTTATTCCATTGTGACTTTATACATCGATATAAAATGAAACTGTAGAAAAAGGCGACTACTATAGCGTACATAAACTTGTTGAACAATGGATAGCATGTTTTTTTTATTTTGTTGTTGTTGTTTTTACATGCAGAATACTGAGAATATAATGTATGTATTTATCATGTTTTATAGACACGCAATTCAACATGGTATTCACTACAGAATGTTGCTTGAAGCATGCGTTCAACAGAGGAATATTTTCAATAGCTTGGTACGGAACAGACTAATTCTTAGAACCAAAGTTTGATGGTAACCTTGCTTTGTTTGATTTAGAGAAGTTCCCTTATAATATTTGCTTATTATAACACTATATTAACATTTATTACTGATATGTTATTTTGACGGGCACATTTGATGAAAGGGTTGCTTTACAATGGTTTTTGAAGGAAATTTTCAAGGATATTGGCAGTAAGTTCTTCTAACTTGGGCTTTTTTGCAAATTTGTTTTACAGAGACATTTTATGACAATTTCTCTGTATAAGGACAGGACGTAAAGTGCTTGTTCAGACGAGAAAAGTCCTACCGAGTCACGAATATTTACATTACTCGCACGTATTTTCTTCAGGCATTAAGAGGATTTGTATGCTGTTTGAATTTTCTAATATGTCCGTTCTTTAAAGCAATGTTTATGGCACACTCGGTTTTAGGTATCAGCTTCTTTGCTTCCGATTTGACAAAGCTATTGAAGATATAAACTGGTCATAGACGAAAATATCTTGTTCAAGCGCATTTTAATTGCAAACTTGTTCTTCAAGCATTTCTGTTTGCACTTTTTAGTCAAATATAAAACGGATGAAGTTTTATTAATGTACTTTTCTAAAATTTTCTGGGATTTTCTTCAACTTCCAACCAGAATCTACAAATTTTGAATACTTCCATTTGCGTTTAATATTTTTTTATGACACTAAATACCATATTTATCATAATACATTGTACATGTACAGTGTATTAGGAATAATTATTTATTTCATCAAATGATATTTCTGTCAACACAGTTATAAACAATAATGTTGACACATAATTTTGCTTGAAGTATAAGTTTGCACATTAACAAGATATTTTTGTGTATTGGAACTTTATTTGGAACATGCAAATTAAAACATTTACACAAGATTGACAGAAGTATATTTTGTCTTGTTTGGTGAACTTCAAAACTTAAAGATGTGAATCGGCTGAAACTTGCATAGGATAAGCTACTACTAACCATGCTAACATCAAACAGAACATTTTATTCGTCCTCAATAGTTTTATTTCAGTTCATTTTTACACGCAATGTTTTTCCCAAATTGTCATCTTAGATCTAAACAATATTACTTACATTATTTGATTTTAATCAAATACATGTATGATAAACAAGATCAACAAGGAAAGGCGGCGTTCAACGAACGCAACCCCCACACGATCCAGCAACAAGATCCAGTGGCAAGGAGCCCAGGAGGACCCCAAACAAAAACACGACAGGACAAAGGGCACAGCATGGGCAGGCCCACCAGCAAAATCATACACAAGAAGAAAACAACTAGCAAATGATAAAGATCTCAAAGAAAACAAATAAATAATCGAATAATAGGCCCACAAAGTCAAAGGGCATAGGGGAAGGGGGCAGGAGACCCGGGGAAGGGGGGGGGGTCAAACAAAGGAAAAAAATAGGGGCAAGGGGAAGACACTTACCGTAGACAAGAAACATACATATGAGGAACACAGAGGGGCGCCGCCTTGGAACGGTCAGCAGCATAAATACTGCTGGGGAGTTTAAACCGGTTAATGGTGGAATTTGATATGAATAGGAATTTATAATAAAACAAAGATTTAGTAGATACTGTACACTAATTCCACGGAGAATTTTGCAACTTAGTGTACAGTATCTACTAAATCTTTGTTTTATTATAAATTCCTATTCAAATCAAATTCCACCATTAACCGGTTTAAACTCCCCAGCAGTATTTATACTGCTGACCGTTCCAAGGCGGCGCCCCTCTGTGTTCCTCAGATGTATGTCTAATAGAGAATATAATGACTAGAACAGCTTAGAAGAGAAACCAAATCGAACGCAAAAGTATCAAAAAGGCGATCTGTCATATTTAATTTCATATACATGTATCTATTGAAAAGCTGTTAGAAACATCTAGAAAATATCATTATTGTGTTTTTATATTTATTCTGACATATCTTTTTCCAACACTTCTTGCCATCGCGCAATCGAACAGACCTCTACCTATAACGGAAGCTCTTCTAAAGTATCAATCGAACAGGCTATTAGTGTTAAAATGGCCAATAAAAATTCTGCCTATATTCATTTCTTTACTGTTAATTTTAGCGGAAGTCAAGGTGAAATCAGACGACCTTCGGCCGAAAAATATTTGTTGATATCTTCAATAACTTCGCCAAATCGAAAGCTAGGAAGCTGAGACCTAAAACCGAGTGTGCCATAAAAATTGCCTTTAAGAATGGACATATTTAAAAATTTCAAATAACATACAAAGCCATTTACCTGAAGAAAATACGTGCCGGTGTTGTAAATATTCATGACTCGGTAGCAATTTTGTCAAGTTTGCAAGGATTTTTCTCCCTTTAAGAAGCAATTAAGTGTGCAACCACTTCACGTCCTGCCCTTTGATATTTTTTTCTTGACAATGTTAATTGTTGTCAAATTCCATTTACTGGGTAACATTTATGCAAAGAAAATAGATGAAAAGTTAAAAAAAATATCATTTAGTTATCGACTTGAGACATTTACTCGATCATTCTCTAAAAATCTCATCATCTCACAGTAACTGTTGTTAAACATCCACATCATATAGGAAGCGCCACTTCAAAGATCACAATTTCTGTTCAACATTGTTTAACTTTATTTTTTATGCATGCATACTATTTTTTGTCAATAATTGTCCAATAATGAAATGTAAATTTGGCACAGTCAGGTAAAAAGACATATTCATTAAATACTGTTAAAACAAAGTCACTCAAAACTGTTAAATTAAAGTAACAATCAGAAATGGTATGTTTTATATCAGAACAAGAATTAATATAAAAGATTTATGGCTCAGATATTTAGCCATAAAATTTGTATATACATGTTTATGTGCAGCCTAATAAAATGTAATAATTTATGCATCTGAGTTATGCGCCTCGCTTGATTGTTCGTTTTCTTCCTGTGTCATCATTTCTGGTGTGAAAGTCTGTCCCGTACCAAACGAAATTGCCAACGCGCTAGGAAGACTTGAAAAGCAAAATAGACACGCTGGGTGTTTTAGCCCAAAACAGTGTGGATTGTGTTGACTCATCAATTGTTTTAGAGATGACATATTTTTGTCTTTTTTCGACTTCCCTTTCTCGAATGAGTTTTTGCTTTGTCTTGTTGTTGAACTTAGCTCGCTCAGAAACATGTCGTTTTCATCAATATTATTAGCTAAACTGTCAACATTAGATTCTTTATGAAACGTTCTGTCATTTGCACTTGAGATTCCATTTTTGAAATTACACGAGCTGTTTTTTCTTGATGCTGTCTTACAAAATCTACTCAAAACGTTTCGTACCAATTTCATTGCATTTGAAAACAGTTCTTTTCTAAACAGAATATATATCCACGGATCAAGAATCTGGTTTAGAGAGGCTAGACGGAGTGTCATAAGATCAGCCTTGACGTTTACATGTCTGTGATTAATCTGATTGATGATAAGACGAACCTGAAAATATATTGTATTATTATAAAGTAAAATATAATATTGCTATTCAGATATATATCATACACTAGCATGCCAAATCAGATATACTAATTTCTATCGTTGCAATGTTATTGAACTTTCATTATGTAGTGAATCAAACAGATAAATGTTAAAAACTGATCGATATGAAAATACACACAGAGACATAAAAGTGTCACTTTGATATAAAAAAACCCCTCTTTCACTTGCCTGCTAAAGATATACCATATTTTATATGAGATTGGGGTCACTTGCTCTGGTTATATGATTTCAAAATGTTTGTCAGAAACGAACGATTATATCTTACCAAAAATGGACACCAGCATGTGGAGAAAATGAGGACAATGCCAATCATAAGAACCATCATCTGTATTTCCCTGCTGTATCTATGTGAGCACGTATTGCACGGTGACATAGCAGCTGCTTTACGATGCATCTTCACTAGCACGATTATAACAAACATGTTTGACATTGCCGTCACAATGATTCCTAGAATACCAATCACTGCGTACAAGTAAGCATAAATCTTATTTTTCATGACTGTACTGGTAAACGTGAAAAAGCACCATGTTCCTGGAAATTGTATAATGTTTTCCCCAAAACCAATGATTGGCAAGCATCCCATTACAAAGGCAAATGTCCAAAGTGCTAAAACTATGAATTTTATTTTTCCAACAGACACATGTTTATCGTAAAAAAATGGATGACAAATAGAAACGAATCTGTCCACGGCCATGGTGCATATAATACATATCGTTGAACAACTAGCAAATATTAACATAAATGATTCATAATTGCAAAGCGGCATTCCTCCAACCCATTTGAAATTATTCGCATACACTGCTAATGTTACTGGAGATGTAGCGCACGTGCCGAGTAGATCCGTGCAGGCAAGTGCTCCGACTAGTCTGTAAAAGACAGATCGTTTATGTTCTCTCGATGACCGGGCAAGGAATATGATTGCCAATACATTGCCAATCACTCCTGCTGCAAAAACATTGTTGCAGGTACGGTAAATGTAATCAAGGATCGGTCGGCGGTTGATTATCCGAAATGACGGTTAAATATGTCTGGTTTTGTTTCATTCATGACGACATCTGTGGACATTTTGTAAAACTGTTTGTCGCACTATCTGCAGCAGTAGAAGACATGTTATAAACTGTTGTCGCGACATCTGCAGTTTTGTAGAAGACATCACCTATATAATTTTTAAAAAAATATTATCATGCAAACAAGAAACTATTTCATCTGCAAATTATCACTCAAAGTCAATTACCTATCATATAACAATTAAACGAAAAATCTATAAAAAATATACATAAAAAGTCATGTATAAAAAAGTTATCAGCATTGATCAAGACATTCAATAATTCAAGGAATTCCAAAAATCATATGTATTTATTGACATAGTTTATCTATCATTTATCATACAACATGTCAAACTAATCAGACATAAACGTAATTAAGCCATGATTTCTAAAATGCGCAAATATATTCGTATGTCAAGTTCAAACATGGCCATACCCCGCCGAATGTGTTTGCTCATAGGAAGAATGTATATATAGTAGAACAGAATAATTCAATTTTAAGAGGTCTTTTGGAAATGAAAACTGATGGCTGAAGTGATTACAGATTTGAAACCTGTCTGAATACTGATGGCGGAAAAAAACAAAGGGCAATAACTGAAAAATAATGCATGGTAGGTTATCATTCTTGTGTGCTGCACTCCTCCTCATTGAGATCTATCCACCTATGAAGTTTCAAGTTGATACCTCTAAATATTTTTGAGATAAGCTCCGGACAAAAAAGTATGAAAATTAACAAACTTGAAGGACAATAACTCAAAAATATAAAGGGTAGAGTTATCAATATTGCGCACAGCATTCCTCCTCAATAAGATAAATACACCTATGAAGTTTCATGTTGACATCTCAAAGACATTTTGAGTTATGCTTCACTCAGGTGAAAAATTAAGAATGAAAAAGAACAAAGGGCAATAACTCAAAATTATGAAGGTAGAGTTATCACTCTTGTGCAATGTACAACTCCTCCTGAGTGAGATATATCCACCTATGAAGTTTCATGTTGATATCTCAAAGGCTTTTTGATTAATGCTCTGGGCATAAATTAAGTATGAAAATTAACAAAGGGCAATAACTGAAAAATTATGCAGGGTAGAGTTATCATTCTTGTGCACTGCACTCCTCCTCAATATGATTTATCCACCTATGAAGTTTCAAGTTGATACCTGTAATACTTTTTGAGATAAGCTCCGGAAAAAAGTATGAAAAATAAAAAGGGCAATAACTCAAAAATTATAAAGGGTAGAGTTATCATTTTTGTGCAGAACATTCCTCCTCAATAAGATCCATCCAGCTATGAAGTTTCGTGTTGACATCTCAAAGACATTTTTGTTATGCTCTACTCAGGTGAACAATTAAGTATGAAAAATAACAAAGGGCAATAACTCAAAAATTATTGATAAAGTTGATACCTGTAATACTTTTTGAGATATACTCCGGACAAAAATGTCCGACGGAAGGAAGGAAGGACGGACGGAGACTAATTCTATATTTCCCGCCGCCTTTTCGGCGGGGGATAACAAAGCCGGTCAATTAAGTTTGATAAATGAAAGAATAAAACTAGTGTTGAAATTATAACTTTTAAATATGTTTTCTTTTCTTCATTTGGCACATTTAGTGGCAACATTTAAGTAAGAATGAAAGAAAGAAATTTATTCCCTGCGGTCCGGAGACCGCAGGGTATTGGTACGCGTTTAACTTTTGAGGCATGGAGGAGCACGTGACCTGTTTCGGTACATGGAGGAGCATGTGATCTGTAAACCGTACATGATTGGTTAATTGACCTTTTCCAAAACCTAGCTAAATACCGTTTGCCGGTACGTTACGGATTTACCTGTAGGGAATTAGTCCGAATTACAACTTATTAAGAACAAAAAACAAATAAGTGATATTTCTAATTTTCTATAATTATTTTACCGTTTAAGGTGAAAAAACTTGAATGATGTGTTTGAAAATTATCAATGTTTCTTTAATATAGAGTATTTTTTATTTATCTAAAATCTATTAATTACCGATATAATACAGAAATTTTTATTGGTTAATCTGTTGGGTCATTCTTTAGGTGTTTGTATTTTTCGGGTCACTGATTTAGTTGTATTCCTACGCGTTGTTATAAATTCAGTCATCTTTTCGCGGTCTTTACAGTTCTTAGACACATTTTGGTTGATACAGATCTTTTTTCGTCAGTCTGTTTATCTAGTTATCATAGGGTTTTACTGTGCCCGTCTTGTGCTAAAGAAGTTTTCATTTGTTTGTGGAGCGGTCTACATTTATCACGATGAGTTAGAAAGTTGCAGGGACCAGTTATTTATATATTGTTTTTGACTTGCTTCTTATTAGGAAGGTAACTTTTTATTTGTTTGAATTGAACAATGCCTCAGGAAAGGAAATCAGAAAGGGTTAAAGATAACCCAGACTATAAAGCTTTGCATGAGGGAAGAGATGTTATAACACCTACTACAGATGTTACGAAAATTTCAACCGCCTCCAAATTAACTCTTACTCCCCCGCCAAAGAACCCGGATAAAAGCGGTGATATTGATCCAATTGAACTTGAGAAAAAAGCTTTCAACGATAAACTTAAAAGTTTGGCAACTGCTGAAAAGCGTTTGAAAGAACAGGAGGAGTTATTTGCTTTACGCAAACAAGTTCACGAACGGGAATTATACATACAATCTCAAATTATCAATGTTTCTTAAATATCTATGTTACCTTTGTTAAAATTATGCCCTTAAAGATGTAAAGGAATAAATATCAACGAGGCTGAGTTCGTTCAATACTTTTAATTGAAATGTCCATTCATTGTATGATCTCAGTAAATTACTATATCGATATAAAGATCAAGTAGATTTAACCCAAGAGGTTAAAGTCACATCACATTCACAACTTCACATCAAGCACTTGTTAAAGCACCAATCAATATATAATCAGTATCAAGAAGATATCAATATGTAGATCAATATGAAGATCAAGCCCTGAAACAAACAAATATAGCAATACTAAATACATGTTCATACTGAGATCATTAACACACATCACAATATATACAATTTAAGTCATAGCATGATTATAACAAACATCTCACATCAAATAGCCAATATAACAGTCATTAAACCATTACATCAATTAATTACTTCTAAATTAATAACTGAACATTCCAAGTACTGTTTTCTGTATTATATTAAATAATTCAATCCAGTGGCCTATTAAATCAATATAGTTAACTTATAAAATAGTAAAAACAATAATATGACTTGTACAATTATACATACCAATTGTGGATTGGACTCAATGACACTCATACAAAAATCCTCTCAATCTTGTGATGTTACTGCAACATACTGTAATTAAACATGTGCACAATAGAGAATGACAGTGATTTATATTAATTACTGCAAATAGATATTACTTAAAATATGCTGCCATTATCAGATGCATTGTAAACAAATCATGTACAATATACATGAATATCTTATTTTAATAAACTTTAGACACACAGCTCATTTGTAACTCACTTAAACAAAGTAAGCAACCAATATTAAACTTCACCAACCTCAATCCAAAATCCAAAATCCTATTTAAGAATTAATAACCAATTTATTATTTTAAACAACTGAAAAACATGTCTGCCTTCTACCAAAAACTGATGACAACTCAGAAAACGGCGGGAACAATTACACGCATGATTAACTAATAAAACAGCCAAGGGAAATCACTCCTACAGATTTCAATCAATAAACTAAAACTGATTATTTCCCTTTGGTTACATCTATCTCAAATTTTACAAACAATAAATTGTTTATACTGAAAATTTACAAAATTAAAATATTCGTAGGGGCATCTGCCATAATAAATAGAGATATTTTCTGCGTAAACTTGTGTGTTTACTTTATTTATTATTTGCTCAAAATTATTCATAAAATGGTAGGCCTATTTAATCATTTTCACAAAATGAAATAATTGTTTTATGTTCGACCTTCTCCGGTCTTCAACGGTCACCAGTTTCCAAAGACTTTCTTCTATATTGATCGTTTATTCAACTGTCAACTATATTCCTGATAAAAACGTTTATTTATCCCCCCCCCCCCCAAATAATGTTGAAAATAGTTAAATGAAATACATGTATCTGTATATCATTAAAATGGTCACCGCAGGAAACCATTTTACTTGTTCTTTATATAGTGACGTGTGTAAAATCAATGATGTGATACATGTGAATAAGATTAAAGCATTTACACCCGGCCCAATCGACCTATAAGTCACCTTATATTGACAAATATCAAAGTATTATATACAGAGTCATCATGAATAAGTGTATGGCAAAACTTTTATATCTATTACTGTGTAACAGCGCATATTATCAAATTTAGCCAATTTTAAGATTTGCACCGGATTCCCATTATTCATGTTCTTGTATATTGACTTGTTAGAAAACACGTGAAATTCACACGGTAAGGTCTTGTCCAACACAAATGTAAACTTCATTTAAGATTAATTTCTGTCTTATTTTACTGATCGTGTACACTTTTCCGTTAGATCTAGAACAAAATTGCACATACCTACAAAAAGTATGCACGATAAAAAATATCTGAATTTAATGAGAATTAAAAAATAAAATAAAAAATAACATAAACTAAAAGGAGATTCAGTATAATACACAATGTATATAGAAAATATATGACAAGAAGGCTCGTTATTTACGTAAACTAAGCACTTGTAAAAATAGAATAGGGCATTAATTGTACTTAACACAGGTGATCTCGTTATCAAATCCACTCAACCATGTATATATGAGCCGCGTCACGACAAAACCAACGTAATGCGTTTGCGACCAGCATGGATCTAGGCCAGCTTGCGCATCCGCGCAGTCTGATCAGGATCCATGCTGTTCGCTATCAGTTTCTGTACTGTA